TACCTCAAAGTCTAGTTAAAGTCTATAGTATCGCTTCAATGCCTATTCCAATTAAAACCATTTTTATTAACCTAAAAAAATTTATTTAAACAAACATACCTCTACAGTAGTCATTTTTCCTTCGTCTGTAGACACAATCAGTGTACTTAGTCTGATTACTTTCTTCATAGATTGCAACATGGCTAAAATCATATAACCGTAAGTATCGTGTTTCACCTGCATTACTATACTTCCAACCGAAACACCTTGTTTGGTTAAATAAGCTTCCAGCTAAAAAAGTTTAACGGGTGTCGATTATAAAAATATTATAAATGTATCATTATAGGTATAATATTTAATAGTTTGGTARTAATAATATACATTATTGTTTTTTCAAAAGGTTTTAGACACCAAAGGTGGAYAAAGTTAATGAAAATAATATATATTATAAGCTGTATACTACGTTTTGAACAAGCCTTGTGATTGAATAGGGAACACGTATCAAATTTGAATTTAAATACAGATACATCAAAATCACTGTATTACAAAAAAATACCATACTGATTGAGGAAAACATGTGGATTAGTATATTTCTAAAGATATAGATTATATTATACTATATTTAATATTTATATTATTATTAGTATTTCCGTAATTGAGTTTTTCGGTGTTTTGCCTGAACCATATCACTTCTAAGTAAATATCAACGTMCAGTATAGAATCATATATATGTTCATATTGGTAAAAATGACTTAAAATAAATTATTATAAATATAACATAAAGGTATCATTTCTATAATTTCTATTATTAGTTCTCCCAATTCACTATAAAGAAAATAATTGAAAATTCCTTGCTTTTGACAATCCAAAATACCAACTAGATCAAGTTATCTGCCAGAAATCGACCATTATGGAGGGTTGAAGCAAACTTTCTGGTGTAAAATGTATCACTGCCCCGATCAAAAAAAAAAACATCCATCATAGTAAAACTTACCTCAGTAGTCAGTTGTTCTTATTGTTCTTTTTTGAAATAGATTGAATAAAACATTGTAAAAAAAAAAAAAAATAGTAAAACTAATACCTACAATACTTCCAGAACCCAAAATAATAAATTATTTTTTAATCTAATCACAACTATATCATACGTATAGGTAACCTACTTTTACAAACATTTTTTTAACTTAGTGAATTATTGTTTTTCGAACGAACTGAAAACGCCAAGTCATTACAATGGTCATAATTAAATATAGAAAAATAAAAATATTATTCTAACTAGCTTTTGTCCATTTTTACGTTTCATACGTTGCAGTTAAAATATAATCCACATTTTATATTATACTCATTAGTCGTTACACTTTTAACTGCAGGAAGGATTATAGTAATATTTACAAATCGTAAGCTATTAGTTATTAATATAATGTTTTTGTTTATAAATGTTTTTTTTTATCAAACAACTGTTAGAAAAAATGTTTTCAATAATATCTTAACAAAGTATATTTCATCAGTTGTATTATAGGTAATAAAAACAGTTGAATAATTCACCGTGCCATCTTAATAAAATATTAGATATATATTAATATTATTAATAATAATTTATTATTATATTTTTGTTTTTACAATATTATAATTATTATTGTAATGACAACGAATATGTAATAGTATAATATAATACAATATAATAGTCGATTTACAGTTAAATCATTGCAATACAAACCAAACCTACAATGGAGATAAGCAGGTATTCATTACCATGATACGCCTTGCTGACAAGTGACAATACCACAAAAATAATATGATTAATTTATTATTACAATATTGAATACCTACTGCTAATGGAAACGAGCTGTTTGCAGACGCCCAGCCACTRATCCTGTACGACTGGTCACCGATCATAATCGCGTCAATTCCTTTCCGACCATCTTTTGCAAACAACGTACCCAAAAAGTGTACATTCCTGTATATATTATTATTGTTTATGTATCAAATAGGTATTTATTAACATATTTTGTTGAAATTGGCATATTCAATTATTCTATTATGGTATATTGGTATAAGTTTTCAAAAACGTTCCGGAATTGATGATGTTATACGAATTTTGATTACTTAAAAGTTATAATTATTGTAATACTWTRTTACATATTATAATAGGAATAATATTATGATAATGATGGTAGTGGTTTCACTAACCTCAAACCCTCCAGCGAAGATTCCAAGTTGAGAGTGATCGATTGTTCTTTTAAATGAGCCCTGGCCTTCATTTCGGCTTTCCTAGAATAGTTGATGTACGATTCTAGGAAATACGACTTAGTGCTGCTTTGGTGAAAGTACTGCAAGCTTCCCTGCACGTGGTTGATGACTACAAACGGCGTGATAATTTCGCCACTTAATTTAATGTAATTGAATCCATCTATCTGCCAAGAGCTCTTGATGTCCAACACCACCTCATTGACCTTTTTGCGGCGTAACAATTTTGTGCAGGTGTCAATAATGTTTTAAAATGACAATGATTTAACATTGGTTATTAGTTTATTTAGTTACGTCAAGACACTCACCTGCGAAACCGTTGGTCTGCTAATCAAGAATTGCACGTTTTTCTCAATCTCTGTGTAATCTTTTTTCACTTGAACGCGGAATATAGGCAATTCAAATAGTTTTGATGTCACATCCACGTCCACTACAGTATCGAAGTAACCGTCATAAACCTGTGAAAATACATGCCTAATATTATTGATATATTTTACGGTTGCTCATTGGTGGAGAGAAAGGGATATCAAGAACAGTCACAAATACATTTAGAAAAAAATAGTTGTGATAAAATCGTCGTTTATTTTTTCTCCCAGTTTTTTGCAAGTWAAAAAGATATTATTATTAATGTRGTACCTCCATGTTGCCTATGACAAACAAGTTTGTATAGTTGGTCTTCACCGTGATGTTTGTTTCGTACAAATGCTTCAGTATTTTTAGCCTCATGCTCGAGTTACAGAACTCGAGGAGTTTGAACGGAGAAGTCAAATAGAACTTGATCTCATAAATACCGAACGGGATGTTGTTTGCCAAATCCGGGTCGTCCTGATCTTCTGACCCGGGATCTGATAAAGCCGTCGTCAAGAAATCAGCRTCGAGTGTTGTCTGTAATATAATGATAAAATGTAATCGATTTCAAACAACAAAACTTAACTCGATTTCGACTAGAAATATTATTTAAGAACTCATTGAATCTCATCCATTTATTAATTAAATAATTCACATGCTATCATTAATTCTAAACACACTTAACACACTTATAATTATGTTTGTGTCAGTAAAATGTTATCTAGCTTCATCTAGAAAAATTATAAAAATTTCCCTTTTGTTAAATAAATGTGCAATTATTTTGAATTTAAATATGTTTACAAATCATTATTTTCTTTTAACTTGTATGTATTTAACTAATTGATAAAGTTATTGTTTATAGTTTTATTTTTTTTTACATAAAAAAAAAATATATATATATTTTTGTTTTTTAAACTTATTTAAGAATATTTTTTAGTAACAGAATTTAATTGGTAACGCATCCAACGAAATACTTCAGCAGCAAACTGTAATATTCTTAACTAACAGTAAAATTAATGAAATATTTATTATTAAGGTGGATACAGTGAATAAAATCCAACGGGTATAGTTAAATTGTTAATTAATTCGGATATAATGTAAGTATCTACGAGATTTCTATATTGAGATAATTATAATTTATCCACATATTAGCAAATACTGGAGTCTATGCAATTTAATAATATTTTAACTACGCTGTAATGGCAGAGTAAATCTTCAAACGCCGGAAATTGTCTTCAACATTTCAATTAATATAGTCAAATACGAGCTTTGATATTATCTTAAAAATGTATTTGAGTTTATTTAACTCAAAAATCCGAGTGAATCAGATAATGTATTATTTCAACAGTATTGTTATTCGTTAAATTATTTGTATTTAACAAGTTTTGATGAAAAAAGAGTGTTTAATAATTTTAAGCGTCTTGGAAATATTATGTAAATAATATCGTAGTTTATATCGTCTCAAATATATCCCGTAAGCTTACCTTTAAGTTTACCCAAAAAAATAATTTCCGAGAGTCGTCGTTCAACAATGGTTTTCAACTCTATATTATATCAGTTTGGAATAATTATTTTGATTCAAAAGCTTATTAATTTATTATTACTTTAAATTCTAATYACTATCCTAAATTATAAACACAGCACTTTAATTTTCAGTGAAGTGAGAGACGAGTGTTTAATAGTAATCTGTCCGATTTAAAATTAAATTGTCATTTATATAAAAAAAATAAAAAGTCATAAATTATAAGTTTTAAAATGTGTAGTATGTTTTATTGCCTGAAATAATTAAATCATTRTTAAGTACATTTATATATTCCTAAAATTGATTGTTAAACTTCAAAACATTGTTAAACCACTTGAAATTGTTATATTTTCCTTCATAATGAACAATAATAGTGATGAGTAATAAAAATGGTTGTTAAGTAATAAGTACATAATATCCTATATTATAGGATTATATTATTATTATTATACTATTATTATTATTATACTTATAGGTATAAGTATAATATACGTATTAAAATTATTCCATGATATTACTGAGTTACAATTGTAGTATTTTTATTGGTAGGAACTTTAAAAGTTAATACCATTTCGTACAAACAATGGCTTGAAATGGTTCATAATCACTTTTGAAATAATAATAACGCAAACATATTTTTTTAAATAATATTGAACAGCAAAAATTAATTTAAATTATAATGAACTACCCTGATTGGCTAATAACAAAATAATACACTTTAAAAAAATATATAAATTACACACAGTCTGACACATAAAATAGTATGTGTWACTTCTAAATATTTTGAATGTAAATAATTTTTATCATTATTCCTAAAAATAAAGTTTTTTTAGCCAGTGTTTTTATTTTATTTTTTGGAAATGTTTCAATTTATTAAGCTCTTTAGACATTAAAAATAAAATAATATTCTTTGCACGTGGGAAGTTCATTGTTTTAAGTTGAAGCTGGGTGTATAAATTAGATCAAAATAAAATAAATTATCAAGTCAAACAAAATGACTTCATCAAAAATGTAAAGGTTATAAACTTAAAAGAAAAAGAAATATATTAATATTCAATTGAATAAATAATTTATAAATAATAAGAGAAATGAGAAATTCGTGATACTTTGACCTCATTTTAGCCGTATTTGTAGTTATTTTTGCATTTTATTTAAAATATATTATGTTGTAGATAACTAATTAGTAAATAAAATAGTTATATGTTACTAATTTTCAATTGAATAACTAAGCATAAGAAACAAAATRTATTTATTATATATTTTAAATATTAAAAGTTCTACTACCTTAGTAAGTTCTAACTAGTAAGACAAATTTATTAAAAATATGAATATCATAATATKGATTTTTTTGCAATTTCTACGAAAACCACCTTAAACCACTTTCCAATTGGTTGATTGACATATCACACAAAAAGTTATTTTTTGATTACATAACTGTATTACTTGAGTATTTCTACCATTTATTTATAAGTATACTAATACAATATATGTATATTATATATACATGCATATATTGTATTASTAAATTATATTGCTTCTCATATTCATATAAAATTCAAATTTGAATAAATTGATTGAATTTCACAGTTAATTGGTTTTACGGGTTTGGATAAACTTAATTTTCGAAATTTAAAAACTCGGGACTAACCAATAAACTAGCTTACTGTGGATGGCCATTATTTTACTTATCGGGAATTACCTTCAACGTTTTATTGAAATTGACTATGGACACGATCGAATTGGATATAATATGGTTTTCGTTCTCAGCAAACACCGTAAACTCGGAAAATATTCTTGAGAAACGTTCGTACGACGTTGACACATTCAGTTCGTTTTTGATGTCCATGAAATTCTGGAAAAAAACATGCGTTCATAATGTATATTAATTTATAACAAAAATCAATCGTACATGCTATCCAATTGTATAAGCAATACCTTCAAAAATAATTCGTCTTTCAGCGCGACTTTTATGATGATTGCCGACAGTCCGACTTGTGTTGTATACATAATATCTTTTTGAGTCACATTGAAATTGGCAATCACCGAGGGGTAAAACGCCGTATCAATTTCCATTAGCCCATTATAGAGCACCATCGATAATTCGGCGTCCTCGTCATAGTAATATTCGTCTATTTCTTCTGGTCTAGGTATAGTTGCGTACACGAGTTTCACGCCTATCTAAAAATATGATGTCAATAATAAGAAAATTATTATATTTTAGCATATGAGTGTAACTTGAGTCGAAATTCTAGGAAGAGCTAATATCACAAGAAAAAATTCC